TCATCTGGATTAAATTCATCTAGTATTATTGCTCTGGTTGTATATTTAACATAAGGTGGAAATCCAATTTTTTTCGATAATTCATCAATTTTACCAACGCACATTGGTGTTTGCATTGTTATTGACTTAAGAATTCTCGTTGGAACTGAGTCAAGTTTAATATCAATGTCAACAATGTATTTAACATTAATTGCTATTCTTTTACCAACATTATTATAAACAGGTTTTAATTCCCATCCAGCGAGATTTAAATCTGCTCGAACATATTTTTTGTATTCTGGAATCTTGGAATCAACAATTGATGTGGCGACATGCCAAATAGTACCATCCGGGTCACGATCAACTGAACTAGCCATCGCAAAGTCACGACCGCTGAAAAATAAAATAATTAAAATTTTTTTAAATAATTAATATTTAGTATGTTTCCCCTAGCGAAACATTTCCAACATAATAGAGTTCCAATCCGGATAAATCCGCCATTCATTTATCCATATCTGAATTTATCCAGATATCCATTTATTATTGGTATCCAGATAATCCGACAAATATTCGGATAATTATCCAGATATCAATAGTAAAACGAATACCCGAATAAATTCAGGTCTGGATATCCGATAGATAAATGGATAAACGGATAATGGATCGGAACTCTACAACATAATTTATATTTATCTGACAATTAAAATTAACAGATAATATACTGAAAAATGTTGTCGGGGAAATGATTTAATCACATATACAGGAAAACCTTCTTTAAATACATCTATTAAATGAGTGCATTTACAGAGAAAAGTTTTATACAGTAGGTGTATAATACAAGACACATTTAGGAAGGTTCTTATATATTTATATTTTAATGTCTTAATTAGTATTTACCTGATAGGGAAAGTACCCTTCGTGGCTGTTCTGCTCAGCAAGTCATCAAGGCTATATCGTTCAACTACAAAACCTTCTTCGTATCGATCATCCCCTATAACGTTTACCAATGTCAATAAACAATATATATGTATATATAAAAAGAACATTAAACTTTAAAAATTCCTTGTAAATAACCTACACAATTTTTTCGAATCCAAACAGACGATATATGAGAGAATATCGTCAGGAAGTAATTCTCCATAGATAGTGATATCCCCACGCATGTATGGTAAAGCATTACCAGGATTATCCTTCTGGTAAACCTTGACTCCCTTATTTTCTGTGTATAAACTCCAACTAACTTGATCTTTTGCCAAGGATTTAAGTGTCTTGAAAGCTTCCAACACGGTATTGTAATGTTTATATGATTTCTTTTGTATTACTAACGGCTCTTGTAATACAGGTGGTTCTGATTCGGGTTCTTGAGGTAATTTAGGGGGATTTTTAGATGACGAATTTGGTTGGTCTATTGAGGAAGTAGATAATGAGGCAGAGTCTTTGAGTTCATTTTCGAAAAAAATTGGATTTCCACCTTATGTTAAATATACAACCAGAGCAATAATACTAGATGAATTTAATCCAGATGA